CCCCAAAACCCCAAAACCCCAAAACCCCAAAACCCCAAGAAGTAAAATTGAAAATGCTTTAAGTATATTATTCAAATTAGAAAAGAAAAAAATTAATCAATTTTAATCTGAAAGTTCATCTATATCATTCTCTTATTAAGTTAAGTTTATTAGGTGTCTAGGGGATCTCTTTCTAGCAGTCAATCACTTGATGAGTTCTACTCTTGACTTATTTGCCTGATTTATTCGAGATCTTATATTCAATTTGATATCTAGGGGTGCTAATGTGAATTTAACTAGCATTTCTGCTAATAGTTTTAGCAGGAAGCTGCTTTTTTGCTTTTGTCAAGGCTGAATATGAGCTGTTCTCTCCTTTCTTTCCTTTACTTTTGCCAATTTTCTTCTCAAACATCTCATTTGTGCTAAGACTTCTTTTAATGTTTAGGTTCTTATTTTCAATATTTACTTCTTTGAGAACGTCTAAATTCTCATTAGAACTTTCATTGATTGTATTGTCAATATATATCATATCAGTATTGATCTGCAGATCTAATTTAAACTTCGGTCTCATGCTCTCCTTGCTATCCTAAAAAATCAACTCTCCTTCTGAGATATTAACATCTTTCTTTATTTCAAACTCTTCTTTAAACTCGTTTATATGAACAATGTCCTGAGAGATAGGGTTATTTCTAATACTGATACTTTCTACAGACATGTATTAAAGTCCTTAATCAAATTATGAAAAATCATTAGAAATACCCTTTGAATCACATGACAGCTCAAAATCATTTATTTTGCCATCAAGGAAGCTGAGATATACATCCTAAACTTCCTCTTTCTCATAGAACTAAATCTCAATCTTTTCATTTTATTATTGCTAAACTCCATTTATAATTTACTCTCTAAGTTTTAGATGGATGATTTTTGTGATTGGCTTTGAGATTAACTTTGACTTCATTGTTAGATTCCACATTTCATAATCCACTAGCTTCATCTACAAATGTATTTTCAGATAAGTGTTCATATCATTTATTTTAGTCTCTATAAACAAGAGAGATTTATCATGCTAATAGCCAAGCTTTTACTAATACTATTTATAAACCAATGCTGAGAAAGTCTAAATAATTTGTGATTAAACTGCGCTGTATTATTGTTTAAGACCTATCATTTTCTCATTGACTAGGTCTATAAGCTTTATATTGATTTAATAGATTGATTGAGAGGATTTGATAACAGATTGAATTGCTGAGTAAAATTTCTCTTAAAATCTCCAATTCTCTTTGAATAGCTTTGATTCAGCTATCTGAAGTAGATTAGCCTAGATATTAATAAAGGAGGTTTGCTTTTCTAGTATAATTTTGATTTCTGGAATGATTTGAATAAAGTCCAAGTATAGATCCTCATCATTGATCACTTTAGAATTGATGAATAGGGAATATTGATATTGTATAGAATCCATAATTCTAAAGTTATCTGATGATATACGAAGAAGTTCAGGGAGAAATTTTATTATGATACTCTTAGTATCTTATTCATCACATTCAGTGAGGAGCTTATTGAAGTACTACATGATTATTGATTAGTCCTTGGTGTTAATAAGCTCTTGTAATAAGCATGGAAACATGAATGCTAATTCCTCTTGATACTATAGTAAAAGTGTTAGAATTAAAATAATAGATTGAACTTACATTTACCAAGTTGTCTTCAAAATAATTGTAAACAATCTTGAGAGCAGAATAGTACAGAGGACATTATAATTTATAATAAGAATTCAAAGGTTTGCACTTTGCTAAATAGTATATGAAAGGTCCAAATATTCTGAATCCGGCACGCTTTACATCTTCATTTGTATCTTTGTCTAAGAGTATATTTGTTGCTTTTTCGAACAGTATTTCAAAGAGGTCGAGGTTTATAAATTCTACTATTCCCTGGAATTCCAATAAAACTTCATACTGTGCTCTGATAACTGAGTTATCTGTTTTATCAGCTATTGCTAAAACATTATCTAATGATCTATAATTTACAATAAGAGTAATTTACCTTATCAGAATATCTTGAATATCTTGATTTACTGCATTCGTCCTGGACAGTATCTGATTTTTATAAAGCTTATAGCATGATCTTATATATTAAGCTTCAATTATCAGAGTATCAGTGCACACTTATATTTCCTCTTGATTTTATCTATATTCGTCTACTAGATATTTAGAGATTAGAGCAAGGAGCTTATCATTCTCTGATGAGTCATATTAGAGCAAGCGGAATAGCTTGATTTGATAAAGCTATTTACAATCCTTGTGATCAATCCAGGATCTGATCAACTCTTAAAATAAAGTCTAGCCTATTTAATTTTAGAGAAAGGTTTTAATTGTCTTCCAAGTATATTCTGCTAATTTTTCATCTGATGAATTCAACTATAGAAAGACAGCTTCTATTAACTTAGCTTTTATCATTATTGAGTAAATCTAATCATCGGTATCATCGCTAAATTCTTCTTTTAATGTGGGAATAAAGATTCTGATTCTTTCTAAGAATAATTGCTTTGTGTAAAAAGACTCATCAATCTAAAACTATGCATTAGCTTCACAATTAGAATTACAATCATGATTCCCAATAATGGGAAAAGAAACTTTTAAGATAGCTCAAGACCTAGAATCCTCATGATTGTGTACATCTCTTCTAATAATAAGTCTCTATAATATATCAGTAAATAATGCAATTGTTTTTGCTTACTTATCAGTAGTAATGGATAATCCTTTTTTCATTGTTTTGAGTTTAGCAATAAGTCTTCTTTATATATCACTAAGATCCATGGCATTAGCTATCTCCCCACTACTATCCTCTGAATTCACTCCAGGGGATTTGGTGCAACTGAAATCTGATATCTTAGTTTGAAGCGGACTATCAAATTTATTAGAAAACCAGCCAAGCTTATTAGGTGAGTTGTCAGTAATTTTCAAATTTTCAAGATTGAATGGCAATGGAATGCTGCATTCAAGTTGAATTTACTTGTTTTAACAGTGATTTTCTTTATCATCTGGATCGCTCAATAAAGCACTCATTGGCTTAAATTTAGTCTCAGACACCTATCTCCGATAAGGCGTTATTCCTAAAGATGGTCTGTTTTCAACTTCTAATTCCTGAGAGTCAAATTGAGGAAAATGATCTGTCATTAAGGAGTCCATTGAATATTTTTGATTAATTAATTTGCTGTTTAAATTTAAATTCTTAATATAAATGAGATTGCTTCGTATATCATTTTTCACTTTATATATTTTTCTTATATATTTACTCGCGGGGTTTTGGGGTTTTGGGG